CCTCCCTCCCCCTGCCCCCTCCCCTATGAGCTCCCCTCGCTCCCTCTCGCGCTCTGCGAGTCTCTGCTCCGAGTTCCTGGTTGGATAATTTGGGTTAATACTAGTGAGTGAGGTTTTTGCGGCTTCAAAGGGTATTTCAAGTTTCCGGAGCTCCTCCCCTCTGCACCGTGTGACAACAACAACTCGTCCAGCCGGCAGCCTGCACTTTTCAGCTCATTTTCTCTCTGTCATTCCCCTCTCAATCTTTGATCAATGTACTTGCCGGGGAGAACCCGAGTCCCTCAACCTTCTTCCTTTCCACCCTCATCCTCAACTTTGTGCTAGAGCGGGACCCACACGCCCGCCGCCCGACCCTCCCCGCCCCCGCCCCCCGCACCAGCCCGGCTCCGGCCGGGGAGAGGACTGGCATTCGACTTGCGGGACACTTTGGTGCGTTTCTCTCCGGAGCGCCCGCGCTCACCTCTTTCCCTCCTCTCCCTCTCCGGCTCGTCCCCTCCTGGAGTTGCGGCGCCGGCGGTGGCCCAGCTCCTGCTCCTTCTCCCCCCTTCTTTCCCCATCCCCTCCCCGGGGGTGTGTGTGTGGCAACTTTTCCCCCCTCGCCTCTCCTTCTCCTGCTTGCCCTTATATGTGACCATGGCAGTGCCGGCGGCTTTGATCCCTCCGACCCAGCTGGTCCCCCCTCAGCCCCCGATCTCCACGTCCGCTTCCTCCTCCGGCACCACCACCTCCACCTCCTCGGCGACCTCGTCCCCGGCTCCGGCCCTGGGACCCCCCGCGTCCGCGGGGCCGGCTCTGTTCCGGCCGGAGCCCCTCGCACCCGCGGCGGCGGCGGCCACAGTCACCTCTCCCGGCGGCGGCGGCGGCGGCGGCGGCGGCACCAGCGCGGGCGGCAGCGGCGCCTCGAGCACCCCAGTCAACGCCAACACCGGCAGCAGCAGCAGCAGCAGCAGTAGCAGCAGCAGCAGCAGTAGCAGCAGCAGCAGCAGCAGCAGCCGCGGCAGCAGCACAACAGCAGCAGCAGTAGCAGCAGCAGCAGCAGTAGCAGCAGCAGCAGTAGCAGCAGCAGCAGTAGCAGCAGCAGCAGCTGCGGCCCCCTCCCCGGGAAACCCGTGTACTCAACCCCGTCCCCAGTGGAAAACACTCCCCAGAATAATGAGTGCAAAATGGTGGATCTGAGGGGGGCCAAAGTGGCTTCCTTCACGGTGGAGGGCTGCGAGCTGATCTGCCTGCCCCAGGCTTTCGACCTGTTCCTGAAGCACTTGGTGGGGGGCTTGCACACAGTCTACACCAAGCTGAAGCGACTGGAGATCACGCCGGTGGTGTGCAATGTGGAGCAGGTTCGTATCCTGAGAGGACTGGGTGCCATCCAGCCGGGAGTGAACCGCTGCAAACTCATCTCCAGGAAAGACTTCGAGACCCTCTACAATGACTGCACCAACGCAAGGTAACGCGCGGAGGGCAGCCTCTGCCGCCCGGCCCCTTCCCTTTGCTCTTCCCACCCAGCTCCACGCCCCGGCCTCGCCACCTTCCCCGCGCCGCTTTCCGCGCGCCCGCGACCGCGCGCCCCGCCGAGCGCGGCCTCCCCTCTCCCCTCCTCTCCTCTTTTTCTCTCTCCTCCCCGGGGCTTGCCGGCCGCGCCCGACTCCCTGAGAAGTTGGCACCTCATCCTGCCCACGTCTAGCTCTTCCGGCCGGGTGGGTCCCTTGCTCCCCTGCGTGCCGGGGCTTGGCTGTGGGAAGTGGGAACCCCAAGATTCGGAGTGGCAGGGGGCAGGAAGAAGGGGGACGGGGCCTTCCCAGGCGCACGGGCGGCGTCTGAGAACCTTTCCGGAGCTATTGCAGCCTGAGCGCGTCCTCCTCAGGTCCCGGGCTCCTCCGAGAACCTCGGGACACAGGCGGGCTCGGGGGTCGGGCGCTTCGCGACCCTGCCCTGTCCCACAGGGTTTGTGGAGCGGAGACACGCGCTCCGAGTGAGGGGCCCGCTAGGAAGCCGAGGGAGTAGGCTGGCAGCCGAGGAGGGCACTCTGAGGTCAGGAGGTGGACGACACTCGCGGCCCAGAAGCCCGGGGCAAGCCTGGGGCACGAGCAGGAGTTCACTCCAGAAGTCCCGAGGGAGCAGGTCGAGGGGAGGGGTCTGCGTGTGCGCGCATGTATGCGTGTATCGCTTGTGAGCGTGCAAGAGAAATAAAGGGGTGCGTTTTCCCCGGGGCAAATACGAGGGGACCAGCCTGTTTTCTTCGGAAGGGGAAAGGGACCTGGTGCCCTGGCCTCTTGGAAGCCTAACTGGAGAAACGGTCAAGGAAAACCATACTGCGCTCTGCGCTCGCTCCCTCCCTCGCTTTCTCTCCAGCTCTCTCACTCTTTCCAAAGTGGAAAAATATTTTTCAATTGTTTCTTTTCTTCTCTTCTTTTTTCTTTTAAAGCTTAGCTCCCGCAGACGAGCAGGTGCACATTTTGCCCCGGGATGCTCTGCGTCCCGAAAACTCTGCTCTGTCTCTCCTAGCCGGGTGCAGCGCGGCCACTCTGGAGGCCTCCGGACCGTCGTCCGTCCAATCAGTTTTATACTCACAAACGTTCCTTGGGGGAGGATCTACCGAGAGGGGGCGGGAGTGGGGCAACTAAGCAGTTTCGGGGTAGAAATGACCGTCTTCAACCCCTTTCACAGTTCAGTTTTGTCCCTACTACTAGCTTCAGGAAAGTGCAGTGGGAAAGCTTAAAGGATTCCAAGAGAAAGCAAACAGGGAAAGTTGGAAACCTGAAGCTGGCACGTGGGTACTGCGCGCAAAATTTGCGCGAAAACTTCGGTACCTTCTGAATAAGTTTAAAGACTCAAGGAAGGGAGTTGGTGTGTGCTCCTAACACTGCTAGAGAAACTGAGATGGGAAGAAAAATCGGGACCTGAAAGGAGTAGGGATGAAAAAGCTGCTAGCTCTTTCAGTTCTTGGAGAAAGATTGCTACTTAGTGCCTGGAAGACCATAAGGGAAAAGGATTCTAGCTCCCTCTTATCCTGACCTGGCCCGAAGTTCTTTTCCATGCTTATTTACCATTCTTTTCTTTAGGCATGGATGTGTGTCTGGGCTTTCAACCTTCATTTAGAACATTTGGGGGGTAAATGTGTGTGTGTGTGCGCGCGCTCGCTCACGCGCGCTCACGCGCTCGCCCTTGAGTGTGTATTCTAGAGTGCCTGCCTAAGTGTATGGACAGGTGGCAGTAGAGATTGCGGGGGGGGGGGGGGGGATGATGGGGGTAGGATCACTGAATGTCAATAATCGGAGATATTGACGGAAATAATCGAAGTCCATGGCTTTCTAAAATATAGAATATTTGTCCCAATGTACAGTCAAAACTATCTGACCTAGGACAAAATATTACCCTGGAGTTGTTAGGAAAAATGCTAGTAGAATCTAAAGCTAGTCCAGACACATCTGCTCTAAAATGGTTTACCCTATAGTAAGGAAACATCCATTCTACTCTGAGTTGTCTTTGTGTTTCTCGGGGTACACATCGCACTAGGTAATTAATGGCCATTTTCCATGCACATAGCACACCCATACACAAGTACTCCAGAAAACTTCCCTCAATAACTACATTTTGTTATAGTCACAGTAAAACTTGATTTTTGTTGTCTGAATTTTTGCTTAACCTTTGAATTGAAGTCTTGATCATATAGTTGAAGAATAGTCCTAAAGTTATTAGATAAAATTTCTTGGAAGTCCTCTTGCCCAGGTTAACAACAGATCTTGAGTTTAAACTTGCAGAGCCAAGCTAAATTAAATCCAGTGGAACTGTTTATCCCTTCCAAAATATCTCATCCTTACTCTAATTATGGTTCAGTCACCTGGCCTTAATACTTGGTGATTAAATATGTTGCCTAAATTTTCAATTTCAGATTATTATAAGTGAAACATGAGAATTTTTTTAGTTCACTATTGAATTTTAATCTATCAACTAACAAAGCTTGTTGAAACTTAAATATATCCAGATATTATAGTCATTAGCTGAGAAGATGTATAATTGCATGCATTTAGTTATGTAGGTTTCCCTACCTCTACTACTAAGGAAATTAAAAAATATATTTAGTTGAACTTCCCCTCATTAAAGTATCCTATATGTATTGTAATGCATTATAATTTGTAATAGTGATTATGTGTGTTATTGCACTATGTCTTTACTTTGAAAATAATAACCTAAATCTTTTGCACTTTGAATTTAAGACCAAAAAATTATTTTCCATTCAGGTCTAATTTGTGCCTCTACTATTAAGATCTGTTTGCATTCACTTAGATACATTGATTTCTCTCACTTTGGTTTCTTTATGCTCTAGGTACTTAACAGACCAGGGGAGTAATTTACACAGAGCATCAGAAGGCAAACTATATAAAATTACAGTCATGTGTCTATGTATAGCGTGGATCAGATATGAAATCCTAGCACTCTCATCTTTTTACAGAATGTGTATCTAATTACAAATCTTAGTAATATTTAAATACCAGATACTCAAAAGGATGCCAAAGAAAGGTTAATAAACTTGTTCAGAATGGCTCAGTAAGTTAGCAGCAAACCTTAGAGTAGATTTAATTTGCTTCAGGCTATTGTATTAGCATGCTATCTATGAAAACTAGAGTAAATGTTGAAGCCATCTGTCACTAGCACAAGGAGATGAAAAAGAGACTATCACCTGCTAGATAGTAAAGCTGAAAATCATAGGTCCCCAAACCATGAAGGAAAATGTAAGGAAATATATCTAGAAGTTGTCAAAGGCCAAGATCTGACCTTGATCAGCTTCCTCCAATTCTTATTTTAAAACTAAACATTAGTTGCATGAACTGGGTTATTGCAACAGAGGTCAGTTAATTAACTGCTAACCATTAAATAACAACAAAAAGAAAAGTAATTATGTACATGGTCAAGTCTGTTTGCGTGAGTCAACTGCTTGTTTGTAGAGTTAGGTCAGGATTCAGTTTTCTGTGAATTCAAGTATACAAAGGGACTCCTGTATTATGCCATCTAAAATGCTTATTTGTTTGATTATTGTCAGAAGATGATTTTGTCTCAGGATCTTTCAAATCAGAATGTGGTTTGGTTTCTAAGCAGCTGTAGATTTATGAAAGTTTTTTTTTTTTTTGAAAAAGCTTGAATAGATTCTGGTTACTTTTATCAGATGGTTTTATATACATGTATATTCACAAACAGTATTCTTTTGTCTTAAAAGTTGATACTATTCATACATAGAAGAGTGAAACACTTGCTAAGCCTTTCACGTTTCAGTAGTACTACCTGAACACAATTTCAGTACAAGTGCAAGAATTTTTTTTGAATTCTTGCCTTTATTTTTGTTGTGAGGGGTTTGAATAAAGATAGTTAGTCCAAACAGTCTATATTTATTTGACATTTCTCCTGCTGCCTGCTTTTTAACGGCAGAGACTTCTGCACCGATGGAGAAAGTTTCAACACAAACACTGATTCATTCCCTTGTAACACATAATTATGATATGTGGCACAAAGAAATTCAAGAATTACTTCAAATGAAGAGAGACTAGGCTTTTGAAGTTCTGTATTGTAGGAGATTAATGATTCCTATAAAGTCTAGTGTCTCATAACATTTCAGAAAGAATACAACATAATTATTAGACTAAGGCATAAAATATGAAAGTTTGTTTGGATCTACAATTAATGTGTCTACTTTAAAAATGTTAGAAAATTATAGTTTAATAGCTAATATCTGAATAGAAGCATATTCTGATGTAGGATTTACATTGCTCAATCAAATTACATTACAGAGTGCAAAATCTTAAGTTCTTTCTATCAAATCTTTCAAACCTGTCATTTTTCTTGGAATTAGCCTCCAATAATAACATAGTCCTTGTCAAAGGGCACATAGTTATGAAGATGCCTTACTTTCTGAACTCTATGGTTTATTAGTTAATGCTCTGAGGCAAGAAAATTGATTTGTACAAATGGTATTTTGTGACTTTAAACATTATACAGAATAAACTACAGGCAGGCTCCGCTCACCGCAGAGCTCCTTTACACATGATTTTTGGCATTTGGCAATTTTTAAATTGTCATTTTTAGGCCAAATCTGCTATTGTTTTTGTTTAATCTATTACATTTCACTGAAGTTGCATGTAAATCACCTAGACAAATATTAGCCACCCTCTTTTTGCTTCACTACCTCCTCTAGCCTCCTCCCCTGGAGATGTGACACCCAATATTGATTAAAGTCTTGGCAGAATTTGAGCATAAATCACTCTTCTCCTTGGCGATTTACTACATGTGATTCACCAGCATACAGAAACATAATATGCTTTATTGTTCTTCATTTGATGTTTTGTTTTAGGACTGTAAGCAGCATTTGTAAATTAGCTGAATGTACAGCCAGGTAGTTATTTGAAGAATAATTTGTACTCTGACTATTGATTAGTATTATTTAACCTTTCTAAA